ACAACTTTCTTGCATATATAAAATGGCAAATATGTAAAAATTGAAGTTCAGGTGCTAGATATGTAATTAAATAAAAATTGATGAGTTTTATTTGTATTTTTTTTTGCGGTATTTTGCTCAACTCATTTGTATTTGCATATAGAGATGTTCTCAATTTAAAATCTTACATATTTCATATGTATACACTTGCTATTAAATTCACTCAAACGTATAAGAAAAATTCTTATATATAAAATCAATTAAAATTTTTTGTCGGACATCCTTTCATGTTTCAAACGTTCACATTACATAATTTTTTAATATTTTAAATCAACAACAAGATTTGAGAGAAAATGTTAAAAGATTTTATTATTTATTTATTTTTTGGTATAAAAAATCACTTTTCTTTTAAAGCCCATGGAGGTCTGCGGGCCGGCATGACCTATTTAGTGGGCAGACCTGGCTATGAAATTATAAATAGAATCTGGGCTCAAGCCCAGCCCGAACCCGCTTTAACTAATCAAAGCTCTAATAAGCCCGGTCTGCCCAACACTCAGTTCTACTCTTTATCATCTCTTGAATTTCCCTCATGCTCTCAAATCAGTCCTCCATTCGATTCTTCATAGAAAAAAAACTATCCTCTATGGTGGCAAACATTTTTTCATCCCAGATTTGATTTGTTTGATCACCTCCTTAATTTCTTCTTTAAATCATCTATTTTCTTAATTGTCATTCCTCTCAGATTTTTTTATCAAAAAATTGAATTATTCTACGTTGAAATTCGTCGTATACTTCCAGATGAGATAAATCGAGTGACTGTTCAGCAAGTCAGTGATCCAAGATCATTCCAATCTGATTGTAGCTTCTCAAGTAGCTTCAATCGTGACTGCATGGTGGTTGCGGCCTCGTCTCCCCAACTAGTTGAGAATCGTGATTGTTCCGAGCGAGAAGAGCTGGAATAAGAGAAAGATGGGAGTTACAGAACGTAACAAGAGAAAGTTGGGAGTTTCGCGTCTTTGTATGTCGCTTTCCAATTGTTGCCTTCCCAGGTAGCTCTGATGGCAACTGTATAGGGCAGACAACACGAGAAAAAGAGAAAAAAGGGAATTTCGAGTCTCTGAATGCCACGATCCCGTAGTTGCTTCGCAGCTAGCTTGGTCATGACTGCATCTCGAGGTCAGATCAGAAGGAGAAAAGCTACGGCTCGTCAATGTGAGCCGCAATCTCATAGTAGTAGCCCTAATGGCAAATGTTTCGTGTGAGTATGGAGCGGAAAGAGGTGATTTTTGGATCAAGGTATGTCGTGATTATTCCCAATTAGCTCCAATCACGACTATTTCGCTAAGTGAAGCCACAAAATCGTCTGCATGTTGCGATCCTTCCCCACATTGCAACCCAGATAAATTAAATCACAACTATCACGCCATCTCCTGCTGAGATGTCTTCGTTGCCTTCTTCGTGTAACGATCTTGAGCGATGTTTCCCATAAATCTTGCTCCGATACCAATTTGATACAATCCGACATTAAAATCGGCATACTTTTTCACAAAAATTAGGAAAAACACAATTTTTCTTCAATAATTCAAACAACTCAACAAGAATATAAAAATAAACACCTACAATTCGAGAGGTAGGCGATCTCTCCCAATTCCTACAATTTGAGAGGTAGAAAGTCTCTCTCAAACCATAAATCTAAGACTCACAATTCAATCTCATGCATAACCCTAACCCTAGATATAACAAGTCTGTTTATACCCAACAATAAAAATAATAAAAGACTCAATTTCCCAAAAGTGTACAAAAGACAAATTTGTCCTTAATCTAGGTGCCAATATAACAATTTTCGTCCTCAAAATTTATAAACTTCAAATCAACTAATTATTATGCAGATGAAACAGCGATGACAAAAGTCTATTTCTTGTTAACTAAAGCATATATGATAAATTCAACAGTTGACACCATGTTATTCAACTGAATAATCCCCAAACATCTGAATCATAATAATATAGCTAGCATAACACTCGACTTCTAAAATGAAAATACAGAATAACACTCAACAGATAACTAACATGACATCCCAATGACAAATCACTCTTTAAACTCTACCAGCATCAACATTAGTAACAACAAGTTATTCAGCTCTTGATGAGTTAAGGAATAGACACTTCGTAGAATGTTCTGCCTTGGTTGCTACTTACGAGTTATAGTACCCCATCGTTTGTTGAACAATATCGCAAGAAAAGCTAACTTTACTCCTACCATACGGAATGACTATATACTAATCAAGTTATTTACTAAATAATGGTATAAACACCAATAAATTGAATCAATGAACTAAAATGTTAGTATATTCAAACATAGCCATGGCAAAAAGAAAAAAAAGTGTTCCAACAATTTGAAGATATGCATGCAGTCTTCATTCAGTTTATCCCATCAATTAACGATGATTAGTTGAAAATAAAACTAGAGCATAACAAGCATGTGAAAAGCAGATTTGAATTCAATTTAATTTGATATTTCAATTTAATCTGATACTTTTTTATTTTAATTAAATATATTTAAATAAGATCAGATTCATTGTCAATTCATTGGCAACTAGCTTAGCATCTTATGATCGCAATCTTCTCCCTCATTTTTGCTTGCATAAGTCTTGAAGCCAACAATCAGTTCTACTCTCTCTTTTGTATTCTATTATATCACAATCATAATTGTCTTCCAAACAGTAAATATTTTTAGTTTATCCATCTGTTTATTAGCTGTAACCACTCATGCATCCTTCCCGTGATTCATGTTTCATCCGGCGCAACGTCAATTTTATGGCAAGGGCTACAATTTTAAAAAGAATGAATAACTTAACTCTGACCATTTCTAAAAGTGGCTCATCTGTAACCCAGACATTATAATTTTAATGGAAAGAGATATAATTTTAGATGGCATTGTTGTCTCCTATGATCTAGCACTTCAATTCTACTATCCAAATTATAATTTTCCTATTTGTAATGAGAGCATATCGAAATAATCTTTTTGAACAACCTAGCTAACTATACAGATGTTTTACTATAAGCTTATGTTGGTAGAATAGCTAATTATTTTTAATTTGTTGTCCATATGGGTAAAATAGGAAGGTGAGGGCAGCAGCAATTTGTCTGTATTGCTATTTTCGCTTTGGCATTTTTCAGCCAAATATTGCACCACGAATTTTTCATATCTTAGATTTGGATTTCTAATATTGAGATTGATTTTCAACATTAGAATTGTTGACTTGGAGAGACTCCATGTTAAAGGGCCTATCAGACTCAAAAAGAGTAAACCATTAATTTCTCTAAAGATAGAAAATTAAATTGAGAAGTACAGGGAAAAATAAAAGCTTTTATGACTGAATTTAATCCTATTGTTTTTCCTGAAAAGATAAAAAATTCTGCATAAGTAGGCGGAGAAACAATTAAAAAATAGAAAGAAAGAAATCAATAAATTTGTCTACAATTTTAAAGTCAAAATTTAATCACATGAAATAAAAAGACTACAAAAAGGGGAACAAGAATTATTTTTCTTAATCATTAGATCTCCCTAGAAAGGAATGATGTCCATAAATTGTTGGAGTATTGTAGATGAAAAACTTGCTATCTATAGATTGCTAGATTATTGTCCACGGATTGTTGAATAATTATAGAAGCAACTTTTGCTCACAAATTTGAAGATTGTGATAAAAACTACTTTAATAAAAAATAACAAACCTAGAGGTAAAAATTGCATCCTTAGAGTAATCATGAAATATAAAATATAGAATATAACATAGAGAGGATATGAAAATGAAGCAACTAGGTACAAAAATAAAGAATCAGCATACTATAACTACATAAGAAAGGAATCAAACAATGGACAAACCTTCTGCACACAAACATTTGAATCTAATGATAATGTATTGCTATTAAGTGCATTTCAGGACCTTTCAGCAAAAATACATATTCAGAGTATATTTGTTTGCATTTTCTATTTGGTAAGCAAGTGTAGGTTTTTAATGATGTGTTTTGGCACCTGCCCAGCGAAAATCAAAAGGCTAAACACACTTTTCAAAAGCTTATTTCTCATAGTAAAAAACTTTCTTCCATATGATAACATTTCCGAAAGATTTAACTGAAGCAACATTTAAAAAAAAACTAAGCAATAAAAAAGTCACATTCATAAAAAGAAATTATTTAGCCTCCGTCTTTTAGATATTAACAGAATATAGAGTTCAAAAAAAATTCCTTCACGCTGCCCTTCTTGCCATATTTTGGACATAAATGATCTTTTAGTACTTTAAGGCTCATCCCAAGCTGAAAAATCCTCAATTTCAATTGCAAAACCACTCACATGAAACTCATACCAAACCCTTTGGTGGAAGCTTCCACCTCATCTGTTTAAATTTGTTCTCAAAACATAGTGACAAGCTTACATTCTCATCAAGGTGTAGTGGTTGATGTTCTTATCCCGGATAGCCCTTTGGTGGTGATAACTTCATAATTTGTTGATATTATCATAAAGATTACTTCGCAAGTTCTTGAATTACCTCGACCTCCTCCCATTGGTGAATAGAACGATGATAATTTATCACAACAGATTTTTAACTCTGAATGGAGCATTCAGTGTATCAATTCTCAAGTGGATAAAAAAAATCACTTTTATACCATGAGGAAAAGAAATCATAATAATATGCATCGACAACTTCCAATTTCCATGAACATCAATCTTCAAGCTAGAAGACCTAGACAATCTTTGTACAACTAATGCAAGTTTTTTTTTTTTTTTGCTATCACATTTCTTGATAAATGCCTTTGATGTGCCCTGTTTATCTAGTTAAAATATTTTGGCTCTATAAAAATTAAAAAAAAAACTTTGGGTTCATATGATTGAATCGATACCTTGTTTTAACACAGATAAAACCATAAAAAATAGGGAATGCCACAAAAATACCAAGCTCAAAGCATTAATTATCACGAGATCCTAACTGTACAAAGCTAAAAAAGAATTAAACAATGTACCTCGTATGAATGAATACCGTTACTCCTGAATTGAAGTAATTGAAGTGCAGAAGTTAGCTGTAATTCCAGGTGCTGCAAATTTACGGAAATTTCACTTTTGAGACTTCCCTGGTCATTATCATAAGGGCAATTGTTTCCACTACTTGTTCCAGGCGCCAATTGACCCCCTGATACATTTTTCTTCTCCATTTCTATTAAATGGCGGCTAGCAAACTTGAGGTTTGATTCCCTTCGGTCTTCCTCAAAAACAATTTCAGCAGCTGCGTATCAAAGGGAGTCATTTAAAGCATAACAGATAAAGGACAACTGTTTCCGAGAAAAGCTACCTTCAAAATTAGACAGAGGATCTCCTGACCTTTGAATACTCCATGCTCTCCATGAACCAGGTTTAGAGTTGTTATTGGTATTCATTAAAGATCCGTGATGAGAATTTTGGACGCTCGAGTAAAGATGTAAACCTTCTCCAAGGTTTGATGAGTCACATATTCTGGTACTTTCAATGCTTCCAACTGCACTATCAAGGAATTCAAAAACGTAAATTTAATGCTAACTTAACAAAAAAGAGAAATCAAAATGATTAGCATAAAAGACTATCCCCAGATGGGGATGAAAGTTATCTATTGCTAGAAACGATACAAAAAATAAAAGAAATAAATGAACTCTTTAATAAGATTTAACAAAGGTACAGACCTAGAAAAACTAGGTAACACATTGCTAATTATAATAAGAGACTTAGACAAGAATGAGGATGGTAACATTATTAAGAAAGTTAAAACTACATAATAGATGGCTAAACTATAATACATTCCAAAACTAATAAAAATGTCAAGCCGACCCATCCAAAACCAAGGCTTTCTAGACATGAAACATTTTTTATATTTCCAGATACTTCTGACACAATATCAGACATTTCACGACATACAGTAATAAAAAAGTGACCACAGTTAACCGTACTTGGAACAATATCTAGAAATATTGTGATTTCTTTAATTGAATTAGGATGTACCTTGATTTCAATTAATACATTATAAGTTATGAAATACAATGTAGCCAAATCACACTCCCCTGTCAGATTCCATAGATTTCAATTCAGATATTTAATAATGATACCGGAACTAGGTAAGAAATTAACGGCAACAAATTTTATTAGTACTGAAATTAGGGTTACAACACGACTCAAACGGAAATAAAAAATACAATAATAGACTAATCACCGGTTATGGTTGTAGGAAGAGATCCATAAACGGTAGTGGAGTCGGCGAGGTGGTAGGGGAAGGCGGGGACGGTCAGGTGGCTGTTTGGTAGGTTGGAACGGTGTTTGGTGGGTTGTATGTGAGCTGGACAATAAGGGTTGTTGTAGGGAAGGGTGGCAGGATTTGGGTAGATGATTTGGAGGGTTGGGCAGCCTAGGTGGTTGTAGGGAGGAGGGCGGGTGCTGGAATGAGGGGGTTGGATGGTTGGACAACAGGTTATGGTGGGAGTAGAGGTGCGGTAGAGCTGTGGAGGAAGATGGGGGTGATCGGCGGCTAGGGAAGAGGTAGGCGAAGGGGACAAGGAGAAGATAGGAGGAGATTGGAATGATACAACACCACCTCGGAGCATAATAAAGATGGAGCACCACCTATCGTCGGATACAACCCTAGCTAAAAGGAAAAGGACTCCACACAAGAAGTCAGAAAACAAACACAGCCAAAAACTGAACCTTACAAACAGAAAATTGTAATTTATAGACTCCCATCAGAGAAAAATAGGAAAGAAATAAAAAACGAAACTCCCACACAAAAGGAATGGGTGGGGAGGCAAGAAGAATCTAGAAAAATAGCCATTAGAACTTCCTATAAGAAGAGCAACACCAAAGAAAAGGTGGCAATCCCGCTTATTCTAGTGATCGACTTCGCGAGTCGCGATTTTTCCCGCAGTCTGGTTTGCGAGGTTTCTGGCCAACCGGCTAGCATTTTTTATGCACCTCGCTCTAGGGACGCTTTCAGCGCCCGTACCAGCGGAGTTTTTAAGTATGTGCATCAAATAATTTCTAGAGAGAGAAATCCTTTGATTAAATGAATAAATATAGGATCAGTTTGGAGCAGCTTTGTCAAAAAGTTGTTGCAGGGAAGTTGTGTATCTATTTGTCTTGTGTAGAGGTACAACAGTTGTAACTTTCTACCCATGTATTGTTGTGTTGTTTATAACAAAACCAGTCCGAGTTTTAGTTTATATGAATGAAAACAGAAATTAGATTCAAACTTCCCCAAGAAACTCATTAGTTCGAATATTACAACCAAAAGTTGATATCTCATTAAACTTTGAATAACAAAACAAATAAATTTAAAAGCAAAACCATTAAAACGATAATAATATTATCATGATATTAAATTTGAAATACAGAAGATCAATTTCCCCAAAATAGGTTGCAGTATATATGCATATATACTCCAACATTATCAGGTTGTAGTATATATGCATGAAAACCAAAATTTGATTCAAATTCCCCATAAAATTCATAACTTCTAATATTACAACTAAAAATTGATATCTCACTAAAGAGTGAGTAACCTAACAAGCAAAGTTAAAATTAAAACTATTAAAATAACAATTAACATTGTCATGATATTGAATTTGAAATACAAAAGATCAACTTCACGAGATAATTCCTTCTCCAAAAAAATTCTCCAGGCCTGAACATTATCTGAGTTGGAATCGTTAAATTGATCAGCCCACCTAAATTCACTGCTCTATTCCTTAGACACCTGTAAATTTTTTTCTCATAGGTATACTTCTGCCATGAAGTATGTAGAGAATACTACGGTCCATAGTAACAGTACAAGACTATAGAGACACCGCAAGACCTCAAACTCATATTTTCTAAAAGTTTAAAATCACAAACCACAAAAAGTTAGACACAACATTAGGTAAACTGATGAGTAATAGAAACACACAATTAAAGTTTTATAAAGTTGTGAGGTTTCAGAGCAGAAAGGATTAACCCACAAAAAATTATTCACTGCAAGAAGACAGAAGACCTTTAAAAAAAAGTATCTTAGTTGTCTTTAAATCATGTAATATTAAAGCATATCACCACAAATGTCATCCAAAAAAGCCCACATATCAAAATCCAAAGCAACATATAAGTCATTCTGAAGAACCTCTAAGATCATATATCTCATCATAGACCTCGAAATAAAAAAAAAATGCAAATATATAAATATGTTAAACCCCTTGTTGCCTGGGAGGCCACCATAAGAGAAAAAAATACATGCAGGATGAATGGAAAAATAATTTGCATCAAATTGAGATCCCAGATGAACATCATTACATAAAGCGTCATTATAATAAAAATTAAGTATTTTCAAGTGACATTATACATAAATAAAGAAAAAGTGGCATAAAATATTTTTCACTCATTAATTACTGCATTTATAGTTTGTTCTCTCAACTTCATCTCTTCAACACATTCCCCATCCTGGGTATAGGACTCGGGTAAATCACATTCAACTTATGATATTGAATGCCCTAGGCAATATTCATATGTTTCAGTAAGAACATATGGCTAATCTTCATTTGCAATATTGAAATCCAAATCACTACATGAAGTATGTCGACGAATGTAATTGTGGAGAGTCATTATAGCGACCACAACATTAATTTGTTTGTTGAAAGGATATGTGGGCATATCTTAAAAAATATTTTTTTTCCAAACCCCAAATGTCCTCTCAATAACACCATATAAGAATGAGTATCTCTCGTTAAATATCTTCTTTCTGCCTCGAGCTACATTGTTGGTTCTTTTAAAATCAAAAATGTGATATTTTGTGTATCAGGATAAGATTTGAGATACTCTCTTTGTAACGAATATTTGGTATCAACCAAATAACATTTATATGTTATAAGTATAGTAATTAGTATTGTACTGAAAGTATTAATTCATTTATTCATATTCAAGCTAACTTGGATATGGCTTTGAAAATTTGCATTTTTAAGTTCCTGTAGTAAATTTAAAATTGTGACTATCATGCGTATTGTCTTCTCATTTGTAAAGGCATGCAATTCGCATTAAAATAAAATTAAAAGGTATAAAAGAGAGTTATAGAAGTTACACAAAAGGTGCAGTGTGGTTGGCCTCATTCACCAACACACTCAAAAAAATTTGGTCATACAGTCATAACATTGTGTTAGTGAACTACAACATCCAATATGCAATTTTTTGACTTGGGCATACGTGCATTCACATGTGTTTCATCAATTGTTCCAATACAATCCTAATTCATTTGTGTAAAATAATGGAATTATGTACAAGTACATTTTAAAAAAGATGAACACAAGAATCTACCTTAACATATGACATATAACATTCATCTTGAGAAATCTCTACAGGGGTGTTTTGGAATGTAGGGTCTTTAGGTATGACAATTTTTTATGATAAATTGATTAGAGCATCCAAACTAACCTAAAAAATATCTATAAATTGTTTATTATGAATGTTGGAATCACTTCATGGCTTCTCTTATAGGCTCATTTTCTGATAAGAAATATAAGGTTATAGCTAACACATCTCTTGAAGTCATCCAATACGAGTCATGAAGTCTATGATTTTTGTGCAGTTTTTCTAAGAAATCAATAAATATGGTATTTTTATACGGAACATGTTAAATCTTATTGGATAACCCAGAAGCAACTCCTCAACCTATTTGTCGCCAATGTAAATGGATGTCATGCAAGGAGTGCGAGCGATATATGAGTTGTAATACTGATTACATTAAGCATAATGCAAATATGACTTTTCTTTTATGCATCATGTCATTCATTGTTGATATAGCTAAAACATATAAATAACATTGAAGTAGCAAGTAATACCCCAAAAAAAATCATGATAATGAAACTTCCAAAAGTAATGAAAGATTATAGCACTGGTACATTAAAAAAATGTCCTAAACCTATATCAATCAAACATAAAGAAGTCCAAAAATAACATAAGAATCATATATTCCGATAAGGTGTCATCGACATGAAGAAATCTCTCCTAGTCAGATCTTTTAACAATTTCATCGAAAATAAGTGAAACTGCATGTCCGTAAATTTCTGAAGTTTCTTCTAGTATTCTCATTACTTCAAAAATATAAGTTGCATATTATGTGTTAGGCTCATAGGTGCATGAAGCAACTAATTGTGAAATCTGACTTCTAATGAAAACAACATAATCTTTTTTTTCTCAACTCTAGAACCTTTGGAACGACTAGTGGGTTCAACTTCATTTAAAACAAATTAGACCTTAAATAAACAGTTTGCTCGGCATCTACATGTCTGTTGGTGTGCACTCTCGCTTGGTGCTCAACCATGATCATCTGTGGCCACGACTCCACCAAATATTACATCGAACTTCTTTTAGAGTTAAGGGTTAATGCCACTAAACTTGAACATTTTGGCATTTGGCATGCCCTACAAATTAACTGATAATTTAATATGTCGATGTAAATAAAATTGATATTAAAAAAATGGAAAACATCACACGTCT